AGAGTCTCTGTGTCCGTATAAAGAATAAATGTAAAGTTAAAACGAAATATCTGCTTAACATTATTAATTACATTAAATACAACTACTAAAGAATTAAACTTTTAAAAATATTATGTATAAAGTAAAATAAAGTAAAGAGTAAAAAAAAAAAAAAAAAAAAAATTGATCATATTTAATCTTTATAAATTATAAAAACGTGGTTTTCAATAATTGTAATCGATTATTTATTTATAATAACCTGAGAAATTACAAAAAAAATTTTTCGTTTTTGTGTTTCAACGCTAATTTTTGGGCGTTATAGTGTAATAAGTGCAAGTACTAAAAATATACAATAAACGTAATGCTTATACGACCATCACGACCTGATCGAATACATCTAATTCACGATTAACATCTAAATGTCTGGCTGGCAGCCAAACAAAATTGTATGTACTCGTAATTTGTTTTGTACTGTCATATAATAAACGATATTAGTATACTGATAACTAATAGTTTTACTAATAGTTCTCTAGAGCGGCGTTTCTCAACCGATGGTACGGGTACTGATGGTGTTACGCAAAAATATATGAGAGAGGATACAGAAGAAAAAAAAAAGGATAATGGCGGAAAATGTAAAAATGTATGTATTTGAATAAATTAATAATTTATGAAATATTTGATAAGGATCATGTGTATTTGGAAAGATTTATCGTCATACACGTTAATTAAAAATGAATATCATAATAGACTTTTTGTGAGTTTAGACTTACGAGTTTACTTATTATTTGTGGATCCAGATTTTAAAAATTATCTTTTACCAAACAACCCTCAGGATAAGATTAAAATTTAATTTAATAATTTATATTATTTTTTTATACACATTGCATGTCGCATACTGATTAAAATAAATAAATACTTCACGATTATTTATTTTGTTTTCCAATAAAACTTATTTTACAATTTTTTCTCAATCCTATATTCGGAAATAGACAAATTGACAGTTTGGAGCATATAAAGAAATAACGAGAAATCAAGGTATACGGGAATGAAAACAGAATGATACACTAGTGGATTGGATGGTTATTAATAGTAATACAAACAGTGTTGTACATAGATAACCAAAATATTATCTAGATAAGATCACAAATAATAAATTAAAATTTCATCTAGATAAAATAATAGATAACTATTTATACATTTATCTGGATAATAGATAACAGATAACTACATTTATCTAAATAAAAAATTTTAAACAATTTCATCATTCAGAATTTACATTTGTGAAATGGATATTTTTTTATGAATAAAAATTAATTATTAATTATGATTTAATTGGTTTAAAATAATGTTAATTAATTTTGCTAATTTAGACAGAAAACAGTACATAAACCTATTTTTATTTTTCATTACCCAAATTTTTTAAATATAAATATTTTAAGATATTATAAATAAACTATTTTTATTTCTTTTTATTTTATTTTATTAATCAGTTTACAGATCAAATTAATTTATTATAATTTAAATAATGTATAATTAAAAATTTATCTAGTTTTATGATTTTTATGATTTAAACATATACCTAGGTATTTGTGGGTTAGAAATCTACATAATACTTTCTATAGATGTATGTAATTCTAGTTTGTTATCTTGTAATATTTAAATTAAATTTAATGGACAACAGTGATGACTCATTATTTTGTCTTCGATTTAAACGCAGTTAAATGTAAATTAAAATATACATAAATAATATAATATTTCATAAATTAATTTTATTGGAAAAACACAACAGCATTTTAAATGTCTTTTCACCTTAACCAAGGGTCTTCAACACCCGCCCTGTCATAATATGCGGTCCGTGATTACATTTTAAATGTTTTCACATTAAAAATAAAATAAAAATTTGTAATTAAAAAAAAATGTTTATCGATTTATGTTTTAATAATAATAATTTGTAATGTAAAAATTTGTAAAAATTTTAAGAATAAAACTGAATTTTTATATAAAATACATATTTTTACTACAAATGCGGCAAGGTTTAAAAAAAATAATATGTGGCCCGCTGCATAAAAAGGTTGAAGACCCCTAACCTAAACGGTTCCTACTTGGTGTTAATATTTGACTTCCGCTGCTAAACAAGCGCTCGAAAGGTGCAGATGAAGGATATTATATTTATGAAACTCAAGTTTGATTAAATATATCATAATTTTAAAACTATTCCATATAAATCGGTATATTAATTAAGTGTTTATTATTCTTCGTTTCACTTCCCATAAAAAAAAATTATCTTTTTCAAAATTATCTAGATAATTTATCTTAGATAACCATTTTATTTAAAAAGATGGATAAAAAAATATTTAAATTATTATTATCTAGATAAGATAAAAATATGAATGTTCTTATCTAGACAAATCATCTCGATAAAATTATCTAGATAATGCACAGCACAGAATACAAATCTAGTAATGTAATAAGTTATTATATTATAAGATTTTTTCGTTTCCTGTAATCGTTTAATTTGTTAACCGGACCGCGGTAGTGGCCGCACACTGCTAGAGCCGCCGACAGATGTCACCACGTACATTAAAGTAAGTTAACGTTGTTTGATTTTAATTCTCAAAAACTATTTCACTCTAATCTGATCACTCGCATGTGAAACATCATAACCTTAGTTTTTTTGGCAATTCCCGATGGTATGTGCACAGTTTTTTCATTATGTTACATCAAAATAATGGTATTTATTTCATTAATCTTATTAACTTCAGGCGGTCAAATTTCGTCGAGGGTTTCGTAAATATTTTGCATTAATTCAAGTTTTTAGTTGAACCAAATACATAAATAACACTACCGGCTGCACAGTATTACTGCGGGTCGCGTGGCTTATCTACCTTTCTTCCTTTACTTATATTATAGTCCCCTAATTAAATCTCTCGTTCCGGCATCATCTACCAATTTAAATTCCTTAATCATAATAAAACCAAAACATAATATAAACATTCTCGTTGAATCAATACGAAAATACGTATGATAAATTGCCAATATTACAAAACTACAGATTAGATGCAGCTACTGAAACTACCAACCGATATGTATGAGTTGTAGAGAAAACCATTAGTCAAATCTTGTTCCAAATCTAAGAAATCTCCACCCATCTACACCTCATATCAAGGAAACCACTTGGTTAATTAAAAAGGCTGACAGATTCATAACGATCTAAAACGTTGTCGTTATCCTACAGGTAAATATTCTCTCCAAAATACAAATTCCTCGTCATACCAAAATTCTCCACCAGCGGCACTTTCTTCAACTTCTTACTCACAACCCTATCAGTTATACTCAAACTACTAATAACATACACTAACATTATACTCAAGGTCAAAATGACCAATCCTCTTTAGATATTAACTTAGTTTTAACAAAATTTTTTTACACAAAATCAAATCAGTGATTATACCTTTAATTTTCCTCCCAACCATAGTTATTTAACGCTTATGGAAAATAATGACTTATAGGTAATACATTCACATCTAACTTTCTCATTATCATTCAACGGAACGCAAACAGCATTCTAAACTACCTAAATGAATTAACTGAATTCACAAAAAATGAAATAGTTTTAATACCTGAATTTCACTTGACAGATCGTTTCAATTTCCAACAAAACGTTGTATACAAATAATACAAATATTCTTATGAAAACGGCTCTTGAATATCTTTCACATTTCTATACTAAATATTTCACTTTTCCCTAAAAACCATCCAAATATATTAGCTAAAAATTATGACTTCCATAATATGCCAGATGATTTACCCAAAAGACTAAAATACAAATGATGCCATGACTAATTAATAAAATAAAAATTTAAATACAATGACCCGTGGATGATTTCTTTCGCCAGCTATTTATGTTATTTTATTTATTATATATTTTTATTGTACTAAACTTTACCAAATATAAAAAAAAAAAAAAAAATGAAAAATAAATTGAAATTCAGAAGAAAAATATCATTAGATCGTATGAAAAGCCATCCATTTTTAATTTAATTGTATTATTAATTATGTTTTGAAAAATTATTATATAATAAAATAAGTTTTCAGTTACAGTTTATAATAATATAAGATTTAATATTCAAAAAATCTTCCGTACAAATCAATAATATATTCAATATCAAATGGTTTATTCTAAATATTGATGTGGCGAACATGTGTCCGAAACGGGCAATTGTCTGTGTCAAATACTGAAGGGATGAGAGGATAGCACTACTGATAAACTAGGGTTTCTCAAACTCCGTCTCTATAATATAAGTATTAATAAATTTGGCAAAAAATAAAATGGAACCTACATCGTTTTGGCAAAAAAAAAATCATATTTTTGGCGGAAAGGATGACAGTTCCAGTGAGAATATATTTATATTGAAATAAATTTTATTATGTGATAAAATATTCGGGTAAATATGCCTCAATAAGTTCTTGTAAAAATTTTAGTAAGGAAATAAGTCATAAATGGTATTCTCTCACATGGAATTATTTCTTTATTTTATTAAAATTTCTAAGAAATGTTTTACATTTTATATCGTAAAATTTCGTTCAATAACCTTTTGTTTTTATTTATATGCATAAATTATTGCAAGGTTCACATAATGAGATTCTAATTTTTAACAATTTGTACACTATATTTCATGTCAGTGATAATGCTTTGTTATAAGAAATAGAGAAAAATAATTTTTACAGTTAAATATATAAATTGGATTATAATCATGTAATTTAAAAAACAATAACTCTACACACGTATGAAACCAAAACTTTTTCCTTTAATGTTCAACTCATGTATGTGTATCATTATGAATTTTATATTTATAAATTGAGATACTCATCATTTTGTGTTACGAACTCGAGAATAAATTTGTAGGTTCGAAGGAAAGAAATTCATGATTTCTACATTATTTTCATTGCTAAAAGAAAATGCAAATATTTGCATATTTGGATTGAAAATTTGCCAACAAATAATATAAAAATAATCTTACTTTTTTTATGGTCTCTATCCGACGTGACTGAACTTTCGGGAGATTCGTACTCCCTGCCTCTGTGAACCTGTCCATTACACAATCCTTCTCTTCTGATATTTCCAGAAGTTGATGGTCTGGACGTTTGATGTACGTCAGGATATCCAGCCTTTAAAATAATAATAATAATAAATACACAAAAAAATGTATATAAAATATTTAAAATTCGTATTGCAAGTACTTTTGTTACTATTTAATTCGAAATGTATATGGTATATATTAAACATAAACTCATTATCAATAATAATAGTCGTCAAAAAGCATTACTTCAGTTATGCAGTTGAAATCTTATATTGAATATATTAAGAGCATTATATTAATTTTGACTTACAGAAGAAAACATGTAATCAATTTATTGAAAACAGAAAATAAATATTTAATAACATGTAGTTGGTCAATATTTTGAAAACATACACATCAGTCATTTCTTTGTGAATCATGAATTTGTTGGCATCAAAAGTAGTAGTGAAAGATAAATTTTGAATGTAACAGCATGTATAGCGAGAGATTTATTTAAGAAAGATACTAATCACTAATATTGCACATAAAACATATTCAAATATTTACATAAAAAAATGTAATAAAATTAAGTAAGTTATCATAAAGTTACTGTAAATCATGTTTTTTAGCAATAAATACAATTTGAATTCAAACAATTTTTTTGAGAATTATACGTAATCGTTTATTTTTACAGACCAGTATTTAATTATTAATAAGTATATGTAAGATATAGTGCATCATCATTGAATATTATATTTTTATCCAGTTGTTATTTAATTCTGCTCGTGTAACATTAAAGTGAGAACTAATAATCTGCTAGTGGGTGATATTAATTTTTTGAAATTAGCGTTAAAGTATTTTGTTTGAGAATATATTGTTATAAAATTAAAAATGATCAGAAAATGATTCTTTTTCAAAAATTTTATGTAGAAGTGTCTTTTTAAAAGCATCTAATTCTAATAACTATTATTATATAATGAAAATTACCACACAGACTAAATAAAGTAAATTATGTTTTAATTTTATATTCTAGAACTAGGAAAAAAATATGTTATGGAACGTCAATTTTTTAAATAAATGTTTAATTTTTCATAATTCTATGAAAATTATTATTTAAATTAATATTTTTTAATAATGAAAATTGTTATACCAGGCGTTATTTCAGTCAAAAAATTAGTTTATAGATACTGATAATGGTCTATTACTGTAAAACTTGTAGTTATTGTTCATTTAGTAAATACTACAAGCCAAGAATCAATATTAAACTCACTTACGGATAAAGTATTGTTGTAAATTTAGATTGTCACTCAATATTTAATCACTCAAACACTATTATTATATAACGAATACTATACTTGAATATATTTATATATGATATTCAAACAATCGAAAGGAGAATTGAGAGAAAAAAATAATATAACTTTTATAATAATTATTATTTTACACAGCAGTAAATAAATTAATAAATTAACAACAAGGCTGAGGATGAAAAGAGAGAGTGCTTTATTGATTAACCGTAGTAAGTTATATATGTCAAGGAAAGTTTTATGTCTATTTGCTTTCGGATAGTACTATACCAGAGAGCAATTTCAATATTTCTAATGTTTAATGGTGTCATAGCTTCAAATAATATGCCAAGGAGAAGAGAATTTTATAACAACAAATATTAACATTTAATTTTAAGAATTTTAGTATTTATAATCCTGGTAGAAAGCGGAAAAAACTATGTAGTTATTAAAAATTTTTTTTAGTTAATATATATTTCTTAACTTTTTAACAAATCAATTATTAAATATACATTCAATATAAATATTTCATTAATGATTTTATGTTATAGATTTAATAAAATAAATTGTAAGTCAGACAATAATCTTTATTTGGAAAATTAAATCTGTTTCAGTAAAAAAAAAAAAAGGGTGTGTTTATTATTATTAAAACATCAGTTTTATCTCTTATTCAAGTCTAAAATAATAATAATAATAGTTCGATAAGTAACTCATAGTCATTTTTAGTACTGTTTTTTTAGTGTGAATGAGCTATAAGTATACCATTTGATTTTAGGTAAAATATATAGACATGCAACGATATATTTATGAAGCTCCGAAAGTATAAAGCCCATTAAAAATGCCGTAAATACATGTTTTATCGAGTATTTCGGATCCAATATATGACAAAATATATGAGTAAGTAGGGGAGAAAAGAAAAATACAAACGTGTCAGTTGTGTATCACAAGTTATTATGTTTTTCCATCAGATACCACACGACGAATACCTTGATACAGTTTCAATAACATTATGAACTCTCAAAATGTTATGGCATACGATCAAAGTTTAATATAAAAAATGAAAGAAGGAAAAAAAATAATAATTCTTATTATTCAATATATTTTTTTCGCTTCATTTTAGCGTCTTTGCATTATCTATGTAACAATATTATAGGTAAATAAGTTTCACTCTGTACATAGAATAAACAATGTGCAATTTCTAAAACATCTAAAGAAATATAAGTGACATCAATATAAGAATAAAATGGTACATCGTAGGTTAAAATACATTTTTTTTATCTTTATGCATACACAGTATCAAAAAATGATTGAATCATACTTCAGATTCCAAAACTTTAATGGATTTACATGAATTTTGGATAAATTATGAGTAATTAAAGATTTATTTTATTCAATTTATTTTAATTTAATAATATTCTTAAACTGATACTAATAAATAGTAGATATTTATTAAACACTATAAAAGATAAAATAACCAAGTTTATATTAATATTCTTATTTTGTTTGGAAAAGAGTTTTAATATTGTAAAGATTTGAAGAATTTAAAATTCTTTATTATAAATTTCAATATTTTTAGAACTCAATGTTTTCAGACGAACATTGTAAGTATTTTTCTGAGTTAAATTTTTCTATCGTAGCTAATGAAAAGTGTTTCAATATTAATTAAAAACAAAGTCACAAATATGTTTTATTCGTCTTGAAATCAAACTCTAGTATTTTCATATTATACTGTTAAGATTACGAGGTGTTAATTGGTTTAATACATTTTTTTGAAATATTTTAAAAACAACAACTTATTGAAAGAAACATATTTGAAAATTAACTAATTTTTTGTCTAGACTCTAGAAAAACTATTTGTTATCATAGAAAATCTCCATAACTCAAAACTAATTTGTTTATAAATTAAAAAAAAAAAAATCTGATATCATTGCAATACTAATTGATACTCACTTTCGACTTAAAATTTAAAATTATTTTTATATATTAAAAATAAAATACGAATTATGTATGGTTATCTTATTAGTTAATATTAATCCAACAAATAGTAACAATAAGACCTGTATTAAAATTTGTTAGGTAATTTATCAAGCATTTATCTATAGCATTCTATTATACACGATTTTATAAATTTATACTGTTATATAATAACAAGAATACACGTTTTTTTTTTATCTAAGAAAATAAAAAAATTATATTAATTTAATAATAAAATATTTTTTTTTACTATGAATGAGATAATACGACAGAACCGTTTTTTTTATTACAATTATATACATTTTTAAAGTTTTGAAAGAAAGGAAAAACTATGGGACTTCATAATTTCAATAGGTACACATAGTAAATGGGAAATAGCTGTCACTGATTTGATGTCGACAGTATTGTGAATACTGAGAAATACAAAATGTGTTGTAATCCCGATAGGTAACAGAAAAAAAAGGTGAACAATTAATTATAGTAAAGCAATTTAAATTAATTAATGAACTTCTCAAAAGGATTATTTTATTTTACTGAGTACTCAGCACTTAAGATTAAATTGAGTATGTGTAAATAATTAATTATAAAATTTTAACATACTTGTATACATGTATTTGTTTTGTTTTTTATTTATGTATTGGCAAATATAAACATAAAATTACGTACGAATAGTAGAAACATACAAAATAAGACTAAATAATTTTTTTTTTCTGGAAATTGGACTTAATAGTGTTTGTGTAGATTGAAAATATTTTATTCAGTAACAATAACACGACCGAAATGAGATTCAAGAGGGACTAGATTCATCGTAGATTCCATTCGTTATGTGACTAACATTGTAGTGCATACATAGTGAAAATGTTACCAAGGAATGGGTACAAGCCAAATTGAACTAGACCTTGTTTCCGGAGGGTTTGTTTAGAACTAGTGAGTTCAAAATCGATGTCACATTTGGCTGAAGTCCCGAGGACAACGGTAATATTCATGGTTTTGTGCGCGATTCCTGCGTATTATAGAAAATCTAAAAAATCTATAATCCTTTCAAATGTATTTTGATAAATATAAATAAGGAGCCACTTTCTATAATTTACAATAAACAAAAACGGTTTATGTAAATTCTTACACTGGGTTTATATCTCTAATTAGAGCGATTAAATTATTTATCTTTGATGGGTTGTGCACACGTGTAGGTAAGCAATTCATAATTTTATAATTCACCAGTAAAATATATGTCACATTATTTATTTCAGGACATAGTAATTGTCTCAAGTTTAGATTAAGGGGTGTTTCTTGTTGACCCAAATCTACATAATTTGGTTTAATTTTATGGTTTTACATTTTTTTTTTTTTTTTTTTTCATTACTTTTATAACTCAATATTGTTAAGTTACGTATTGTTTGTTAGTATTTAATTTGTATGAATTCTTAAATTAAGCATAATAATTGTTCCTTTAATTTTTCATTTAAGTTATAATTAATTTTGTTCAATATTCATGTATTTAGAGGAAACGATTTTTTTTTTTTTTTTTAGCAAATTTTATACTAGGTAATGAATATTTATATGCATCTTAGATTTTCATGATTTTATTTATTACTTATATTAATATTAGGATACAAGGCATGTGTTCAACACTTTAGAATCCCTGTACTTACATATTTCTAATCCGTCAAAAAATCAAAAAAATATCTGAAAATCAAACTAAACTAAGAATAAAATATACAACAGTGATTAGACTTAGTGACAATAGATAGAATTGCCGTTATCAAAATATATAGTTGGTTAAAAACAGTTATAAAGCAATTATTCAAGCTTTAGAAGAAGAAACTGAAAATAAAGATGATAGAGGAGTACATTAAGCAATTGGTATAATATAATAAGTAATAATTAAATATTCAAAGTATTAAAATTCCAATATCTTTGTTTTAGGTATATTAAAAAATTTAAAAAGTGGACGATTTATAGTTTATTTATTTATCTTACATAAATTATTAATTAATATTAATATTGTTTCTAACAAATGTCACCTTAGGGAAATTTATAAATATTATTGAAGGTGTGATGATGATTTTTAAAAATTCTAGAACAACAGAGTATTTTTCTAAGCTTTGGTGTGAAATAGAAATCTTTGCTAAAAACAATGAAATATCAAGACAAACGCCATCTAAAGGTAAGACTTAATAAACATATTATATTTATTTATAATAATAATAATTTTAAGAGCCACACAATCTATCATTTTGATACTACCGCAACCACAAGTTCTGAGCAAAATATTAATGACACCATTGAAACGATTGAAGATTATTTTAGAAAAAATGCTTTCTTTTTTGTATTTGATGCTATCATGATAAATCTGGAAAAAAGATTTTCTACCGAAAGCCTCTAAATGGCTACAGCTGTTGATCAATTTTTTCAATTAAACTTTGAGGAAAGTCTTTTCTTTGTAGATCATTATAAAGTAAGTATCTTATCGGTTTCTGAAAATTAATTTTTACTTACCTATGCTCTAGTTTTCTAGTTTTATTAAAAGTGAATCTGTATTTTGTTTATTTTTCAGAATTTAATGAATGTATTTAAAGATATATTACAGTCAGAAATAGAAGTGGCAAAGAATTGTATATTGCAGTCTACTGATGAAAATTATATAACTTTAAATGATGTGAAAAAGGTTTTAACAAAACAGACTTTTCCTAATTTATATAAACTATTTCAAATTGCTTTAACAATTCTTATAAGTTCCTCCACTTGTGAAAGTAGTTTTTCGGCCATGCGTAGAATAAAAACTTGGCTTCGAACTTCTATGCTGCAGGAAAGGTTCAAAAACACTTCAATATTATATATTGAAAAATAAATTTCTAAATATATTAATACTGAAACGATTATTAGGTAATATATTTGCACAAAAAAATAGATATATAAAATTAAAATTAAAATAATTTAGTAGCTATTCAATATTTTATGTTTCTATTACCTATATATATATATATAATTGGTACCTCAGCTAGAATCATGTAGGAGTAGTCACTACAGTTAGTAGGCGGTAGCGTCGGAAGCAACTAAAAATATTTGTTTCCGATAATGAATAAGACAAAAATGTTAAGATATAGATAGATGAAACCGCATAGATGAAACCAAATATTCGCCTATATTTATAACATTACAAATAAAGTTTTAATATTTTATTAAATACCTACCAACTTCTGAAATAAATTCCTTACATTTATACAGAATAACAATAAATTACTCCTTTTGATTATTTTTAAAAATATTAATAATCTACACATACTCGTAATTAATGATCATACATAAAAGGTATTTTTATTGTTGCAATCTTAAGTCGACCAAGAAATATTTGTTGCAAACATGTGCTATCGACAATGTTGTCGACAAAAATCAGAACTGTTTCTAAAATTTGTCATTAATAATTGTGTCGGCGCATTGTTATCGACACATTTTTGTTTTTCATCCGAGGTGGGAAAAATTCGACAAAGTTTATAAACATTGTCGTTGACAATGAATTGACGCGTCCAGGCTGGTCAAATTCTGTTGATTAACATTTAGTAAATGCATCATATTTTATTTATTTATTTGGTTTTTGTTCAGTTTTGCCTCGTCCGCCTATACGTAGTGCATATTTATTTTTTTATTCTATTATTATTTTTACTCTTATATATTATATTTTATTAAATTCTCCAGATAGACCAATGACATCACGTTTAAGATCAGTCATTAAATCATTACCACTATATTTCTGCTATGTCTAACTAGAACGAACCCAATATCTCTTTTTGGAAGCCTTTTTTGCTTCTAAACTAAAAGTTACACAAGCACATGTGGCAATCGCCACGTCATTCTCGTTCCACATTTTGCCCAAGATTAAAATGTTCATCAAATATGTTGCTTTGGTGTGGACGCGTTTGTTTTTAAATTTTGTCGGTGACAAGAAACATTTTGTCACGGACATTGGAGATTATTAATTTTTTTACGACGATTTTTAAATTAGTGTTAAAAGAATACAATGTTTTTTTCTAATATGTAGTGTAGAAACGAGTATATAAAACAAATATAAAAGTGTACTGATTATCATTTAAATATCACTTTAGCATACATATTTTTTGGTCTACACAGTTTACAAGCCTCTGATTATTATTGTGAATAATGTACACATTTGGATTATAATTTGTGTATTGGGCAATTATACACATTTTACTGAGAACAACTATGCATCCTAACAAAATTTGTGTAATATATAAAAAATCTATTATGACATGTAAACCAGATCATATGTTTTACATAATTTACTGTTTTAACCGTTACTACCTGTGGTGGTCCAAGCAGAGCTATATTGATTGGTGTCTGGGTGAATTTGCTTCTACAGAGGGCCCCCTTTTCGTTAAAACTGTTGTTTTCCGCGTGCGCTCATTTCATTTCTCCTCCATTCATTGCACTTGACTAAATGTCATGAAGTCAAATTATAATGACGGATATCCGTACACATACAATACGTTATATTATAAATAGGAATTAATATATACCATATATTGCATTTATTATTGAACTAATTTATAAATATATGTATCTAATGATGTTTACAAATGTCCTCCATAATAATAATAATTATCCTCAATTACTACAGAAAAATAAAATAATAAATTAAAATATGTAAATCCAATGAAAAATGGCTTATTAATACTAAAAATAAACATGTGTAATAATGTTAATACTCGTACCTATTATATACATATTCGTATATTAGTTTATTTATTTAAATTAATGACTATACAATATTATTATTTAAGTTTACTATACTTATTGCTAATACGCAAAATATACAGTTTAAACTTTATTTAATAAAATTAATAAACTCTAATTAAGTCATAATAATTAAATACTCGAAAAATACTGAGATATATTTACTTTACATTGATACTCAATAACTATACTTATTTATATACAAATTTAAACTTAATTTTACCTTATTATATATGGTATATACAGTCCTGTCTTATGAGGGATTGCATGAGACCAATAAAAATTTGAATTTTAGGCAAGTTTCCATATCACTGAATAAAAAAGAAAATTTCTTATTAAAGAGTTAAAATTTTCCACCTTATCATAATAGTTAAAAATTGAAAATAAATGTCATAGATTATAGTAAATTAAAATTTTTAGTAAATAATTGTAATAATTTAATAATTAATATGTATTAATTAAATATTTCAAAATAATGATAAAATAAAATTTGATGAATATATTTATTAAATATTATTAAAATATTAATGTAACAAGGCAAAGTAGGCATTTTAAAATATAATTACAAATTTCACGGTTCGTGTAGTTTTTGGTCTTGTTTTTTCTTTAATAAAGCCTTTTTTCAATTTGTATTTTTTCCCATGATATCGTTTCCAATACCTCACTATCACATTTATTTATCGAAAATTGTTCCTGATTCTTGATGTAAATAATTTAATTATTTTATTTTAACGTTTTAACTACTCTTCTTGATTTTTAATTTTGTTATAAATTTGTGTTTTATCACATTTAAATTCATTAATGCTATTGCTAACGCTATTCCTATTTCACTTTCTTCTATGCATTTTATTTTTTCATTTAAACTTAAGCAAATATTTTCAGACATTGTGAGAACAAACAAGACGATATGAATGGACCGAAAAACTACGATTACAGTGACAATAATAAGCACTGTTGATATAGATTCAAAATAAAATTAATTATCCATTGGTAGGATTGACCTTTGTCATAATTGTTTGACTGCAAAATAAATGTGGGTAACAAATACATTTTTGTTCGTTTTATGAAATGTTTTTCCGTTTAATTAAGGTTTATATGATTTACGGGAAGATAGCTTTCCGTTTTTCGTTAGACAGGTTCCGTTTTATCAAGGGTTTAATCCTATGTTAAATTATATAAATCTTCTGAGACTACAATACATTTCCGCACAAAACAAAATTTTGTCTTATCAAAG